TTCTTATCGCCGCTCGAACCTCCCCCCCTTGACTGATTTTGATTGCCTCGACCCGAACCGCTTGGGTTCGAGGAGGTCTTACCGGCGATACCTTGCGCTACGTCGTACCGATAATTGGCGTCGATCCTAAGGACTCGAGCCTTCCACTGTGCGTAGGTTGTGGGGCGCTCGTTGTCCCCATGCATAACCGTCTTTCGCACCGTCGGCCTTATCGCCGCTTCTACTGCTTCGAACATCTGTTTCTTGTCGCTAAATTCTCCGCACTTATGGGCTAGTCTCTCGAACTTGGCGAAGAATTCGACTGCGGTTTTGAACTCCGATTGTCGGACCTTCTTCCATTCCGATTTCCATATGGCAAGTTCCGCCACCTGCTGGAACTCCGTGGTGATGTCAGAGGAAAACTCCGCCCAGGTGGGGAATCTCCAATGGCCCTGAGCGTCCCGGTAGCGATGGTACTGATCACCCCACCATTCCTTGGCCTTTTCCCGTAAGTACCCCTGCGCGAACGTGATTCGGTAGGGGTTTTGGCCTTGGTCGTTCATGGTGAAGTGAAGCGGGAACACCTGGAAATACATCTCGCAGTGGTGGAGGAAGCGGTTAATGTTGGTGGATTCCCCCGTAAAGTACTCCGGCTGCGTGATTAATTTAGGCTTGACGTCACCCCACGGGTTATTATCCTTCCCCGCGGCCAAAGCCCACGGCGGGATAGGATCCGGGGGTGAAGGCATTGGTGGCGGCATGGGAGGATTCGGTGGTCGCGGTAACGATCGTAATCGATAATTTTCCCCGGGCGGTGGATAGCCCCCGGGGTACCTTTGTGGTCGTGGCGGTTGAAGCGGTGGTTGGGTCGGGACGGTGGACTGTTTTCCCTTGTCCGAGGGCCCCGCACCGGGGTCATCCATGTCGTCGTCGTCGGGCCCCGCACCCGCCCAGAACTCTTCAGTTTCGAGTGGATTGGGCATTGGTTGCGGGCGACGATACGGCTCGCACCCGCGTTGAGGCGCCTCGGGGTTCATCATGTTCCACACGATGGCCGCCCGGTGCCAGGTTTCTACTTCGAGTATGTTTTTCATGAGGTATACGTCCCCCATGGTCTTTGCGGCTTGATAATCGACCCCCGCGTCAGTGAATAACCACTGGGGGTCCTTCTCCATATGCTCCATGATGATTTCATATAACCCGTGCCACGGGAGAATATTAAAGATGTCAGGTCGCGGGGTTGGACCCCGTAACATGACCTGAGTCACTGCCGCCATCACCGTCGGTTCGAGGGCCTGGTTGGGAGGACGACTCGGCATCCTTTGCCTTCTGCCTCTCTCGGGTGAGTCGGTCAATCTCCTTGTTTCGCCTCCACCTTCCGATGTCGGAGTCCTCATTGGAGATCTCCTCCTGATAGACTCTCCATGCTCGGGCTCTAGCTTCGAGGTCGGCCCCTGCTCTCCGGGCATATCCTGTATAACGGACGGCAGCGGCTCGGATTCGGTTGTCCACCTCGTCGGGGGTGGCGTCGGGCTCAAGGGGAAGATCCCAGAAGCCATCGGGCCCATAGAGGGCGTCCTCTTCGGCACGTCGGATGCGTGCATCATGCGCTCGGCCTCGGTCCATTCTGGCCTGGACCTCTGGGGACTCCCGGGCAGCTCGAGAGAGTCCGAGGGACTCGACGTACGTGTGGTAAAGGAGGGGCCACGGACGCTGGGACGCAGGGACGGGGCTGGCGAAGGCTCTTGACGCGACGGACGGTTCCCAGTTGGAGACTCCGGCGAGTCGCTCGGAAGTGGTAACGCTTCCAAGTTCCTCGGGGTTGTAATCTGGGAACTCGCCCCAAAGCTCCCCATCCGTCGGCTCGTGCGAGGGGACGGGGGAAGGGAGTACTGGGGCCTCGGACCCTTCAGAGACCGGGTCGGGCTCTCCTCTGGTCGCGACTCCGGCCACAGGAGTCTCTTCCCCGTCGTCGGCGTAGACCCAACTGGTGTCAGGGTACCAGGCGACTGGGGGTCCCCTATCGGTTGGCCAGGCCCTTGGAACAGGCTGTGGCTGAGTTGTACCGGTGGTAGCCGCGGAGGCTCCGAGGCTAAGCTCTCCGGGATCGTCGTAAAAGTCGTCTTGGCGACCCCTGTTGCGCGCCATTCTGGCGCGGTCCCTGGCATTGTCGGCTGCGATCCTTCTGTCATGGACCTCCTCCCATGCGCCTGCGTGTCCCCACCCGGAGTGGGTTCTCTCGTTCGCGGAGCCTCCGGAATCGGGGGCATTTTCCTCCTCATGCGGGTAGAGGTCGTCGAGTCGGGTTCTTTCCCACTCGGTGAGCTCGTCCCCTTCGAACTCGGTATCAGGGCTTTCTTCGCCCTCGACCAGATTCCTGGTGCCTTGTCCTCGGCCTCCGTTGTCGCCAGACTCGCCTTGGACTGGAGACTGGTCGAAGAGGCCTGGTAAGGGCGAGTCTCCTCGCTCGAGGAGTACCCCCCGGGTATCGGTGATGTCGATTGAATCGGCTGCTGCGCTGGAAGCGCTTCTGGAGGAGTCGGTGCTCGACTCTGAGGATCGCGAGCTGGGTCGCGACGATGTGTAGAGGGATCCTCCAGGTTGCCCGGAGTTGTTGGATTCGACATCTCCGATCGTCTGCTGGGATGCCGAGGGTATGTCGATTACCGGCGGTGGATACGCCGGTGCGCTGGGAATGTAATGGAACGGGAGTTGTGCGCGGACTTGTCTCCGCTGGCAACAACGGCGAATGTGGTACAAAGTAATGGACAAGAAAAAGAGTAAAAAAGTCGCGAAGACGGCGAGAATGGATTCGGACCAGGGCATTCGTCCGGGGATCTATCCGTGGCGTAAGTCGACGATGGACCATGCAAGCTGGTAGACAGCAAGTATGGTGAGAACAATGAGGAGTGCGATAATCAGGCTAAGGTCAGTCTCGTAATTGGAACCGTTCATTAACGAGATTTCGCAGTTTTCGTCGGATGGGGAGCTCGTTACTATCAACAATGCGATTGTTAATAGAGAGGCGAGCTGAAGGGCGAGAATAAAGGGTTTAATGTTTTTAGAAATGGCGTAGAAATCCGACCCAGAGGAGCAGGAGGAATCCTGCAAACACCGGGGATGGGACGTATATGCAGGCGAGGAGTACTCGAAGGATGGTTACGACAACCAATCCTAGAGGGTCGTTCAGGAGAAATTGCAGCACGGAGAGTGCCACAACAAAGGAAAGGACGATGGGGAGAATGTTGGCGAGTAGTCGGCGTTCGAATCTGTAAAGGTAGATGACACCGACGAAACGTCAAGGTGCGGCTAGCGACCTGTTCGGTCTAACTAGCAGGTATATGGGTTTAGGAAAGTTGGGCAGCGTGCGACGCTGAGCAACGGGTAGCGAGCTTCGGCTAAATGTTAGCCACTAACTCTATCGACTTAGATCGTACTAGGATCGCTACTCGCACTTCGGTAGACGATACTCTAGCAAGTCAAAGGCGATGAAAGTCGATGGGACAAGTAGTCACGAAGAACGGAGTTCAATGTTAGGTAGATTAAACCTTAGCCGAAGCTGGGGTTCAGACCAGCTGAGGCTCTACTTAAATACACGTGAGTATTCTAAAAATATCACTGCGCAGTCAGTCCGTGATGATCGCGCTCTGCGTAATCCGGCTGACTAAAGAAAAGAAAAGAAAAGAAAAGGAAAAGGAAAAGAAAAAGAAAAAGAAAAGAATAACCGTAACATCTACGCTGCATGACCATAATTCGGACTTCATGCTTTGACCCGCACATTTTCAGAGGGAGCAGTATAACGAACTAGGGAAGTCTTCCTTCACTGCCACTATTGGTCAGTGGTAACGTGTCTCCAACTGGGATGGTTCAAATCCATCCAGTGGAAATCAGAGTCGAGGGTTGCTTCATACTTTGTCTAATTTTCTTAGGCACACATCTTTTTTGTTTTCCCAAGCGTTCAACTACGAATTCATATCCTCGATATTCAAACTCCATACAATGGGGGGAAATTCTACCAGGAGCATCTGTAACAGAGGGCTCAGCGGTTGGTGTCCAAGGTCATTCCAGGAAACACCAGTGCACAAAGTCTTTCTAGATGAAATAACGAGAGAAATTGACTGACAGATTGTAAATCCAAGTCCACACTGCGTCTGTATACACTAACGATTCCAATGAAGACATGCTGAGGTTTCATCTTTGTCACGACACTAACATTTCAGCATTTGCACCAAGTAATGTTTACCTCCTTAATCATGAAAATTCCTGACGTATTCAATGTAATCTTCCTTCGAGGCGGGACTACATGTCGCTCTATCATTTCCCTTTCCCTTACAACTCCCTATTGTCCGGGGAGGAAATTGACATGTAATTGATAGCACTTTTTTCTTGACCATCACTATAATTGTTGGTCTTCCACATTACCGGTATATCTTGCCTATTCAGTTGGATACATCTTGCACAAATTGTGACCGGTGACCGGTCCTAGCCTCGCTTGAGCCGGATTATGTTTCTTCACCAGAGATTGTCTGACATATAGCGAATATAGTCTCAGCCTTGTTTGCTTCATGGAGGCAGTGAGAGTGCGTGCAGAACATCATGATTTCGAAGATAGAGGAGGACCGTGGAAAGGCTTCGGTCAGAATAGGCGCAGGAGATGCCGTCGGGTGAAGCCGGATATTGCCGATTGCGCTCTCCTTCACTACGGTGACCTATGCCCCTCAGAATTAATCGTCTTATAGTCTTTTTCTCGAAGTCTCCGTTAGATTTCTGTCATTCCTGTTCTCTTCGCTGCAGAATTTAGCTTGTTTTCCCCCTGTGAACCAAGGATGATTGTGGGTGTCGTTTCTTCGGGAGAAATGTATATGGCTGGTTTTTTCGTTGCCTGTCTACTAACTAACAGTAAGTAACCCTCAGAATTGGAAATGTCTATAGCGTAGTTCGTCTCTTCTTTCTTCGCGTTCCCCGTGCTCCTGTGACATTATCAAGTATGGATGGAATACGAACAACGATCAAGTGCAACAATGACTCCATGTTCAGTCCCCAGCGTCAATTGGAAGTTCACGCTTGACTATCAAAGAACAGAAATAGATGTACAGAAAGCGTCACGGAAGATTGGTTCTAGGATGGTTTTTGTTATAGGTATGTCACAATTTTTCATTGTATGTCCAACCCTTGACACCTTACGTTCCAGACGGCTCTCTCAGGCTTGATCCGCCACGATGCATGGACGAGAACTGCTCACACATTATGTCGTAACACCGTTTCGCGTCGACCTCAGGAGGTCGCCACTCTCAGTACTCGCAATTTATCTATCCTCAATACGGAGGACAGCTCAATACCGGCTCAGGACATAAGACATTTGGATGGCGATATGTCTGAGCGTCGACAGCGGTGGTCATGGAGGTTTTTGAATTACAGTGTGTTTGGTGAATATTTCGATCTTGCTTCGTACGCTGTTGTATCTTACCGCCTTGAACAGAACAAAGTCGCCCGTCGAGGCGCACTCTCCGGTCCCAATACTACCTCAAAAGATAAGGCGCATATGTTGTAGCAACTGGTGAGTCACTGATTTATGACTCGCCCAGCCTTCACGATTTCCTCTTTTCCGGGGTGAAATGGTAGTTACTGCAAAGCCTCTTTGTGGACGATGATGCATATGCACCTGTTTCTCTGCTGCGGGAATGGTAGTGAGTGCCATGTGATTCATGCTGAGCCGAAGTCGTACAGTCAGAGCTTAATGGTGCCAGCTAGTGCAGGCTCCAGTAACAGCGTAATTTTCGTACCTTCTTTCCTGAAACACGAGCACTCCTACCAGGTTCGTTTTCCCGTCTCTCGTCTCTCACATTAACCAACGCACTTTTAGGTACGGATGGTGAATGTATGCGTCCCAGTATAACCATGCGGCGACTCCCAGATGCCCAGTTTGGTACTGAGATACAGAATGCACATTGCCCTGACATCCTGCTTTTAACGCACATTTTGGAGGTAATCCTTGCTTGCCCTGCTATTATAGGGAGCTAATACTTCGCTGCCACAGATTATCCCGAGTCACTTCTCCGGTTGTTTTTTAAATCCCGCACCTACAAGACAAGATTCCAACCCTCATCACGGTAGTACCTACCTTTCTCAGTATCAAAGATGTTCGCTTTGCTTCCTCTAGTGCTAAAGAGACTTCGCACGGTATGTGTTCCTCGCTATAAAGATGCACCCAAACATTGAATAGTTCGGATTTCGAAGGCTCTCATAGGGCTCCTCGGCAGATGCCTGGAAGTTGTTGCACAGTATCCTTTGTGTATTTGAGTACAGGTAGGCCGTCTAGCTGTGTCCAGCCACCGCTGGCTAAGATCTGGTTCTTTGTAGCTCGCTTGAGCGGCCATGACCTCCTCAAAAACGGATCAACCGACACATGATTTGAGAGTACTGGCTTCATCTTGTGTAACTCTCAGATACCTTATACCTTCATACGTCCACCATGGCATCGGTATGGGCGTAATAGCGTGCAAAAATTCACGCCTGCGCAAGTGAGGTTTTTCCGGCCACAAGTTGGTTATTAGTGCGCAAGTTCACTCAAATCTTTCCCCAAGTTAAGGGACATTTGAAGCAAGTTTGCTATTGTAAGGAGTCTGTGATTTGTTGTCCCGCCGTGGTCCAGACAACTGATTATGGACTATGCACCGTACGCATATCAACTTTTTGGGAACGAATGCGGTACATATGCCGTTCAGCAGGCCATATTGTGAGCCCTGAAACTCCGTGAAATTTGGTTATCGTACCTCGGTTTATCATCGGCTCACAGAGCAATTGAATAGTTAACTGTCTGGACAAGGTTGAAAGGCATTCCAGTTCAGAAATCAATTATCGCACAGAAGACATTCATACATACCTTGAATTCGAAATTCGAATCATTGAAGGTGCTTTGCTACTGAGGATTAAACTTAGAGATCAAAATATCGAAGACAAATAAAAATCTGACTCCATCGTGTGAAATGGGGACAAAGAAATAGCTAAGGTAGAAGATATCAGAACTTAATGCCCAAAGATTTTGGCCCACCACGGAAACAAAGGAAAACTGGTGATATCTAATCGCCGAAATAATGTCGGCCGGTCTAGCCATCTCGTTTCGTTCCAAACCCGCCCCCAGATCTTATTCAGAGATCTATGGCAACAACTGATGATATGTATATCAGTATAGGAAAGCACTTAACTTGCGGGAGGGAATACGAACTTGTGCACTTAAAAGTAACTTGCGACTGGAAAAAATATAACTTGCGTTCATCGCATTTTTTGCACGCTATTACGCACATACGTCGGAATCAACCGGCTCCGAACCCGTTACTTACCGTACCCGCAATTTTCTTTTCTTTACTGTTTACCTCCACGTCGACATACTAGGTATAAACGAGTTGCTTTTTTCGTTCCCTCCCGCGCCCGAGCTTCAACAAAAGAGTGAGAGAGCGTAGTAGTCAATCATGCATTCAGTGCGGAAATAAATTATTCTTCGCAAGGCGATTCTCATGTCTTGAAAATAACCCAAGCACATGGCGCGGATATTGGTAGAGCGAGATTTACATCCCCCGACTCTAGTCAGAATGCATGAAACAGAGTTTAACAGAAGAAACGGCGATACAGAGCCCGTAAGGAAGGAAAAGTCAATGGCAAATGCCAAGCCTTGAGTCTTGCACATACGGGTCACGTAGGAAGCAGAGAACGGTCGCATAACAAGAATACCATCGAGTACGCAGACAACGCGACATTGCATTACAGTCCTTCGGCATCACGCATCTCAGCTCTTGGGCTCATGGTCAAGCAGAAGATTCGAGAACAGGGCATTTATTAAATACAAATGCAGAAATGCAATCTAAATTATGGTGAGTCAGAAGGGTCGTCATTAAGACAAAGATCCTTGACGTACCATCAAGTATACGAAGTTACGCCGACACTGTACAAATTGAACCCAGTACGGGGCTTCATTCTGTATAGAGCATGTGAGCTGTAGATTTATATGAACGGAAGGGGGGACCTTACACCAAAAAGCCTCGCAAAAACCCTTGGGAAGAATTGGCCGTGACTCGTTAGGCGAAGCTAAGGCAAGCGTAAGCGAGGTGCATGCTTATCTACGTAAGAGCATCGAAAGTGGATGTATGCGGAATAATATCGTTGAGAGCCAGTAACATGCTATGGCCAGGTCCATTCTGTTCATCGAATCAGAGCCAGAAAACCTGTGTATTGGCTAAGCATGAGAAAGAGAGAGCTTCGAGAACGGCAAGGCCTCGCTATCCAGAACATCCAAAAAAATCCGTCCTGCCCTGCGCCAAGGCATCATACGTCAACGATGAAGATCTGCCAGGAGTTAAGCGACGATGGTGTGTTCGCACGAGAGATTCCTAGTTTAGGAGGCGCATCGTTAACCATCTGACGAGGGTTCAGCTTTTTGGATTCACTAGAAATAAATTCCTCCGAAATTCCTAAGTCACCCCAGCTGGCATTGTTCGCCCCTCTGATACCATTGCGAGGCGCTGATGGTTGGTGTCGGCATTGGCTTTGGTGCAACTTGAAGCGTTACGCGTTACGCGTCGCGTCTGAGTCGTTGGTAGATGCCTGAGCAAAAGTATTCATGGGAACCAGAGTTGCGCGTTGTATATGCGAAATCGTCCCGTGGAAATGGGAGGAAAGTAAAGACGGCGGCAGTGAAGGCAAGAGAGAAAGGAAGCCCCCCAGATCGGACCATCAATTACGGTAGCTGTACCCCGGTCACCACGCGCACGGGCCTGCCACGCGTCGGAACTACGGAGCTTCAAAACGGTGGTATCTTTCGGCACGTCTGTTTGTTATAATTTGGCTTTCTCCCTTCTTCTCTTATCACAGCCTAGGTACGTCCATTGTTCTGCTGTATTCTTTCATGCTCATCATTTTCTACAGATAGACTAAATCTGAATTTTCATTCTTCCTTTCTGTTTGCTTGTCCGAGCTCGAAGAGATGAGAAGTGACCACGAAACGACCGACTATCCGGATACGTGTATCCTGGCTGCTATATACTACTGACTGCAGAAGAATCCGTACATCATTTGAAATTCGAAGATCGGCACAGTGCCGCAATTAGCTCCGAGTCCTTCTTCCCTCGGTACCACCACCTCCTGGCCTCGTTCTCCAGTGCGAAAAACTCATATGGGCCGAAATAGTGCCAGAATTAGGGCAGAAGTCCTTTATAGGGCCACAAAAGTACTGCAAGCTCGCTTTGGCCGCTGGGGAGTTCAATCAGCCGTTGGTGCTGATCTCGCGTGGTATGTCTTGCTAGATTTGCCTAGCACTATAAAGCAGGCACGTATAAATCTTATCATAACATATAGAAGAGGCTACATTTTCTGTCTTGCACTTCAGGGGAAACTAGACATTTATGTTCAGGGGCACGAGGGATCCTTACTCTCATTGGCGCAGCGATTATCAAACGTCGACTCCAGATTTTCGATCTCGAGCGGGAAATCAACCATGATAAAATATACCCACACCCACTCCGATAATGTGTTCAGCGACGTCGATGACCCTGAGCTCAAAAATCGGACTTGCGATCTAGCTCTCATCTCGGCCAAGTGGCAGCACGACCGTGGCAATGTGGTAAAACATATCACATGTCTTCCATTCAAGTATCTTCTCCTCCAGCGTATGAAGGCATATCTAAGAATAACTTCAACTGCGGAGCGTGAACGCCGGATATTTGAAGATGTAGATGCTTCGAAAGCCTACCTGGCTTATACAAAGACAATATCGCTAGCTGAGCTTCCGTCGCAGGATGATGCCTTATTCAATGTACTTTTTGAGGGCTTATGTGCTACGGTCCCTGATGCGAAGGAGACTTTTGATGCCCTTCTTATTTTCTCGACGCGACCACCAGAGGCGGTGACTAACCTGATGACGACAGACCATGAGTGGGACGCAAGACTCCAGTCCTCCCCAGCCTCACCGCCTTTCCCACAGAAGGCTACCGCTTCACTTTCAGTCTCGACACCAGCCAGTCCGGTGATCCCAACGCGAGGCTTTCGCGCCGTCGTATTCCGTGCTGCCAAGGAAGTTACTCGTATCTTCAGAGAGGCAGAGTTTACATTTGCAATCTTGGGGAGTACGGCTTGTTATCTCTACGGAAACGAACGTTTGCCAAATGTACGACCTGTCGCATTCATTGAACGTGATACTGATGAAGCAGTAGGATGTTGACATTCTGATGTCATCGCATACCTGTGAAGTAGAGGGCCTGAAGGAATTCCTTGTCACTAAGAACCCGACGCGTTTCTACCTCGTGAATGCTAAATCACCTAGGGCTACGTGGAAGGTCCTGTGGTACCACGATCATAACGCAGATGGGAAACTGGAGAAAACGAAGGTCGATCTCCTCAAACCGGGGGTATTACAGCTTCCGATGATGTTTTCGGAGGCTATAGTGGATAAGCAGGGATTACCCGTCGTTCCTATGTCGATTCTACTTCTGCACAAACTGAAGGGATGGGAGGATAACATGCAGTCAACGGCGCTACGTCTTCGGAGCAAACATGATGCAGATGTGGGAGATATAGGTTCGTTATTGAGGATCGTCCTGGAGGATATGAGTTCGCAGGAAAGGAAAAACTCGACGTATTGGAAACGGTTTGCACTGGAACGGTTTGATGAGGAATTCCGAGATGGGACCGAGCGTCGGGTGAAGCTGTTTTGTTCAAGGTTTCCAGAGCATCTTGATATGTGGTGAAGGCTAGGCTGGTAGACACAAATACATGTTTTCTGTTCACTTGCCACAGTCCTGCAAATGGGAGGATATCTGTGGTTCGATCCTGTGGGTCAGCTCATTATCGATTCTAGAATATCATTTTCCCTCAGTTGTCTTCATAGAGCGTGTTGCCTGTAGCATTCTTACGATACTACGATTCACTATTTAATACACCGTCATAGATCAGCAGTATAGCTGGGTCTAACACTCTTCGGTTCAAATCTGAGGGATGGTGTTGTGTAAGGCGTGGCGTGGCGCACATAATTTTTAGCCAACCTTGATTATTTACACCAAGTACCCCAAGCTTTGTATCGATTCGTTTTGTGGTAAGATAGATCAGAGGCCATTTAATTTGTCAGTTCAAAAGTAAATAGACAGGATGCCATCCATCATGTAGATTACAGGTACGGCTGCATGTAACAACTTGGTTCGAGTCTGAGGGATGGTACTGGATGACCTATAATGTTTTGTGTTTTTTTGGCGAATCTTAAGTCGTAGAGGGATCAATATGTGTATCTTCTTGAAAATTCGACGTATTCATCAATTCACAGCATGTGGTTAAAGAGTCGTGTAATTGACACTGCCTTCTTGTTGGAGGCAATGTTCAGGCCCAGATCCCTAAGTCGAAATTGTCCTTGAAGGCGAGTAGCATGGTCTTGTAAGTAATTCTATCCACCAGTGAGACTAGTAGTGTTTTGCTGTGTCCAATACCCTCATTTCGGGTACTAGAAATTCAGCATGGTCACCTGCATGGTGCCACACGGGCCACGCAAAGTCCATAGTTGAACTTGAGTTGAACTTGCCTTGACTGTACATATATACTGCGCAATGATAAGAATGCTTCATTAAACATATACTTGTATGTATTTCTTATTCATTGGTAAATTGTCTGCAAGAAACAGACCTTTACTCGAAAATGTTTCAATGCTCAATTGTTGCCCATTAAAGGTTTTAAACCTTCAAATCTCGGATTTGTAGGTGCCATTGCATCTTCAATGCATGTATCTATGATTATGAGAAGGATAAATATCAAAACTTAGCTACTCTCTCATTTTTCCTGCATCAAGTCATTAATCCAAAGATGTTATGACACTATGAACATTAATTCAACGTTGACATCATGTCAATTACTCCTTGAATGCTCTAATACTAACCAAATTGGTCATTTAATTCTCCCTAGAATTTTCGTTCCTTATGTACTAATATACCTTGACCACACATGTAACCACGCTGGCATACCACGCAACCACACAGCTACGCAGGCACACCATGCAGGCTGACCACGCACTGCCATGCTGACAAACCATGCAACCACGCAGACCACGCAGGCACCTCGCAGGTACCACGCTAACCCATATAATTTTGCCCTCAGAAAGTGTATCATTTGTATAATTGCCTCTTAATTCGCTTGTTTCTTTGGTGTTGTTCATATCAAGTGTAGAACTCCGTATTCTTCTCATCATGTCCACTCAACTGGGAACCCCACATTGTGTACCTTATTGCTTCTAGCTTGGCAGATCAACTCTAAGGCCTTTTTATACTGTTAGGATACTCATAAAATTATTTACTTCAGCTACAATACTTTTGATGTTCTTAAACTTAGCAATCCAGTTTGAATGATATTTTCATGATATTGACCATATTTTGAAGCATTTCAATATCACACTAAAGCTGTCTGTCATATTTAAACCTTCAGGAATTCACAATCCAGCTGATTCTATGCAAGTACTAACAGAAAAGAACGGAACGCGTCGACTCAAGTCGCGTTTGATAGACTTGATCAACTTTTGATCGAAGTCCCGTAATTTGTCAACCACGCTAACGCTGATGACCACGCAACCACGCAGCCACGCAACCACGCAGGCGACCACGTCGAATTCTTCTTGCCCCCTCATTTCTGTATACTTTGATGTATTGCCTCCGAATAGTCAGGACATTTTGATTCCAGCAATGCCTGCGTTCCCTCCTCGCCCACCATCTTCAACCATATGGTCGTCCATTCAATTTTTGGTGCCCTTTTCAATCTTCACAAAACGGAACGCGGTATTCACTCTGCCACGCTATCCAACTTCCAGTGGCGATCTCGACCCTGTAAAGGAAGTGACGTGGGAAGGTAGGCTTTTACACTTCTCAAGGACCTCCTGCAGGTGCCATCTTCGCCTGTCAACATCGCTTAGAGGGTAGAATTCTACTAGCAAGTTCGAATCCAGGACTGTCAGGTAATGCTCCAGATGTATCGCGGTTTACTTTTTTTTTCGTGAAGGAAAGCCAGACTCACTATTGTGCTTCCCTTTCCATGCTGGCCTTTGAAGAATAAAACCAAAATATTACGTTCAAGTCGTTGTGCAGCAAAGGATTGACTCATGGTATGCTAAATGTCTTCTCACACGATTCGATGCCTATCTCGTAAGAAAGAACCCTAGGAATCGAATCATGGAGGTCCTCTTCCGTTGGAATACCACTGTCATCCTTGAATGGGAAGAAAGCTCACGATCATGCATCCCATTCAAGTGATCGACGGTAACCTGACCACAAAAGGGATGATTCAAACTCACCGTCGCCGTACACTGCTCTGAGTCTCTTTGCTGCGTACTTCGTCTCAAAGGGAGAGCGTTAACTACGTGACAGATGTTTCGTGGACCGTTGGCGACCCCAAGAGAGCTAACATGACCTCAGATGTGTCGACCACTTGGAGAAGTTATAAAATGCGAGAACAAGGACTTCGCGGTTCGAACCCGTCTTCAAACAATGGCTGCAATTCGACGGAGTGCTTTTTGACTGCGCCCTGTAGTACTGCCGATTGACTTCTGAAGTAACGGACATTCAACAAAATAAAGCAGAAGAAATTGGAAGACTGACGGATGAAAATCCCGTGCAAAGATATAGGGAAGGGGTACATTAGGTCAAGAACCTGCTTTCTGAGGATCCAAAGATTCGTGGCGTTGCCTTGGTGTCACCGGCTTGGAGTACCGATTCCGTTTTCTCCTGATTTGAAATTGTGTTATGTCTTCTTTCTCTTCTCCAGTCGAAGCCACATACATCCTAATGCCCTCTTTCCTCTCCTGCGGAATAAAACACGCTCCTTAGCGACTTTGAAAATCTTGCACAGCGAGGAGGAGATCACCGTTGAAGTTGCGTTGAAGCGCTGTGACACATATTCTCCTCGTCGTTCCCATCTCATTTAACATCACAGAGGCCATCGTTTCGAATTAGTTAAGCGTCTACAATTAATTCTCCGTTCCATCCACCATAACGTTCCCTCAGACAAGCGTTTCTCTTTGAGATAGATTAATGGCGATCGAAGAAGAGGTCGCGCGCGCCCGGCAACAGACGGACCCATATCAAATCGGAGGCATGTGTGAGATGTATAAAATCGCTGAATTATTCCTGGTACAGAAGATTTTCAGGTACTAGCCCATCTTCAATACCTTATGTGCTGATTTTGACCAACGTGATCCTCTGCAGTGTGGCTTGTCAACGTACATTCCACTTTCCTATAGAATAGTCACTGGTAAGCTGTGCATTCTATTTTCTGAACAGATGCTCTAGCTCAATGGCAAATCAGCCCTGTCACGTCGATCCTACGTATAGGGATGATCGTGGTTCGAATCGGCGCAGTAGCTCTAATAGCAAAATCTAGGCGCTTGTTTCTTTTTGGCATCGATCAGGATGAAATTATCCACCTAGGCCCTATTTTTGTGAACACAGAGCTCGTTGTCTTAATTTTACGTGATGATCCGTAGCAGTATAACAAGAGAATACATTTTTTGAGCTCCTACAAGCATATAGCGAACCAGCGATTGCTTCTCGATTTTACATGGTATCTGGAAATTCCCTCGCTCTTTCATCTCAGTGCTCTTATCCTGCTCAGTAGGAAGTGCCATCATAGATCAGATGTAGGATCTGAAGTGCCCTGGTTCGAGTCCGGTCAATGGTATGCTACTGATATATGGGAGCCTGCTATATACCATCGTAATTTCGTGGTTAATGTTACACCCAATGCCCCAGTTCAAACGTTCAAGCGTCCAAGTCCTGGAAATGATCGCAATTATTCACTAAGAAAGAAACCAATGGACATTTTGGTGGTGAACATCGCTATTAACAACTTCAATATGAGCCGGCGGTGTTGTTTAAGGCCGGTGTTGGTGTTGGTATCGGCACAAAGTCCCGGAGTAAGAGTTTTGATTGCCGATGATGGGAATTTCAATTTCGGACTTCTTTCCTCTCTCACCCTCTCAATCTTTCAATGTGCCGAGCTCTATGCGCCACCGTCGATTCCCCACCGACCTCCTCTATCAACTCCAACACCTTCATACCATGATGGGTGAGTCGTGAAGAGTTCCAAATGGTCGTCTTGAATGCGGATCCTCAGCGTTGTCCATATGGATTCTGGGTATCGTTACGACAAACATCGACGACTCTCTGACCTCATTACCCCTCCCGCATACATGGATGATGCGAACTATAGCTGAAGAGTGTGGAAGAGCCGCCTAGAATATAGAGAGCTGTGTTTCAGCGAAGATCCATTCATGCTCGTGAGCCGTTGTCCATCTGGCAAAGTTTTCTGCTAATATTGATTAGATGCGAACTCTCGAGCCGGGTCATCAACGTTAGCATTGTGATTGCGCCCCGATACTCGTTTGTCACTTTCAGTACTTCCTGTCATCCTATCACGCTGGGTAGGTTAGTCGCCGTTACGACCTTCTGCTGCTCATCTCATCAGCGTCGTAGTAAGATGTCGGCCTGCAGACTCCGTCAGTCACGCACCTTCTCGCGTGTCGTGCCACTACATCCTCCGGATATCATCTGCCGCATCTTCATTCTCCCTCTCTCGCATGTCAAGACGATGCATGGCGTACCGTCTACTATGCCATTTCCTCGTCCGTCGAGTGTCGGTACTCTTCTCATGCTACTACAATGCCAATTCTGATGCTTGAAGCAGGAGTGAACGTTCTGCGATGTATGGACCTGGTTTTTCTCCGCAAAACTGGGAAACTGGGTAGTTAAGGTTATTGTAGTGTTGATCAACACCATTGGAACACCTGACGCAGAGCTTTACTTCCGTCAGTTTTCCCTTCGTCTCACTAAATTTTTTTACTGATATTCCTCGCCAGGTGTATGCATGGACGAGAATGTGATGACAAGTCCGTTTTCCGATGCTCTCATACATGGAGAGTATCGT